GCTGACTGAGCCGCGCAGCTTTGCTCGCCCCGCCGCCTGCCACCTGAGCTGCCCCAGCCAAACGCGCCCAGCCGTCTGCACTTCCCAGCTCCTACCGCAGCCTGCTGGTCAGAGAAGGAGTCTCCCGCGCTCGGAGCTTCGGTCGGCCCCAGCAAACTCCTCCCGCCGGCACCAGGCTCGGCACAGAGCTCCGGGATATCATGGTCTGCAAGACTCTCCTCGCTCTGTGCATCTTCACAGCAGGTACTTAGCGCAGACCTCAAGGAGGGGCCAGGCTCGGTGTGGCCCCCGCGGACGTAGCTGGGGCTCCACCTGAAGCCGGGAAACTGGGAAGTAAGTCGCGGCTTGCGGGATCCTGACTGGTGCGAACCTCCGGGGCTGCGCGCAGGTGTGTGCGCACTTAGATTTGGCAGTCTTGAGCGGTGCGGAAGGAAAGGATGAAAAAGCCTTCCTACTGCAGCCCGAGCCCGCACAAACTCTGCTTTGTGGAACAGGTGGCTGGCTGGCACAGCACATTTGAAACCCCCAAGGGCTATACTGTCTACTCCTGCTTTGCGTTCTTCGCCGTGGTCCCTGAGCGCACCCGCCAGAGTCCGGATCAGACTTCTGGTCGCGGTTCGGCCTGGGGAGGGATTCAAAAGCAGGGGAAGGAGTGGGGTTTTGGGTAGTCGCATCTCGAAAGGTTTAGGAGGTGACTGCCTGCCCAGGTGGGGCTGGTTTTCGTTCCGGGTTGGCGATCTCGGGGTCTCCAAGGTCCCTTTTTAGTTATACTTAGGTACGATATGGCTCAAGAGGTCCTAGGGACCGTGGACCCGTCTGGGGTCAAGCTCGCGAATTCACATCTGGGTTTTTTTGCAGGTCTTTCTTGTGTCCGGTAGCCTTTCAAAAATGTACCTTTTGGAAGAAACTAGAATGTTGATTAAAGCTAGCATTCCCCTCACCCCAATTCCACACATTTCCCCATTCCCACCCCTCACACAGGTTCCCGGCCAAGTCCCCACGCGCGCGCCTCTCAGGTCTTAGGACTACCCGCAGCCACGACCTCAGGCGGGGGGTTCTAGGGAGAGTGGAACAGGCAGACAGAGTTCGTCTTGGTAGGGGCTGGAGAGAGGGCTAGACAATACTGAGTCTAGAGTTGGGTATCCAGCTTCTCCCCTCTGAGTTCCTTAAGGTTCCTGTAATTGTGGCCCTGAGTCGTTACTATCTCTCGAAAAGAAACTACTGGTTCCCTGGCAGCTTACAAAAGACAGATTTAAGAAAAAGTTTCCAAAGTCGAGGTACAGTGTGGTGTTTTCTCTACTTGCTGAACGTCTGTTTTGGCGTTTGCACGGTTTGGAGACTCATCTGTTGACGGTTCCAGAACACTCCGGGCTCTTTGGCTTGTGCTGCCTCAGGCTGGGATGAAAGAGTGGATCTGGAAGGTGTAATCTGTCATTGGTCGGCAGCTCTTGGATGGCCTCGCATGGTAATTCCACAGTCTTCAAACCAAGAGATGTTTAGGAAATGAAATGAAATGCATCTTTATTTTTACCTTAAAATCTTTTCAGGAGGCTCAGAAAATCTTAAGCGAGCCTGAAGATGGGCTTGTTTGCTAATTTGATTTGTAGCTGCTGCTTTATTTATTTTATATTTTTATATTTTGAACAGCCCAGGCAATTGACAAAACCGGAATTAATCCTAGCAAGCAGTTGATTGTAGCATTATTTTCCTAAGCTCAAGATTTTCTTTTTTTTTAATCCAGTCTTACAGTTTACCTCCTTATTATGAGAGAAGGAATATTGTCTTCATCCACTGCCCCCAGAGAGGGGGCTGGTGGGCCAGGGACTGGCAGAGCAGCCCCATCCATGCCCCCACCTACATTTGTAGGGATCAGAGCCAATAAGATCAGGATAGTTCCTGGGCTCCTGGGAGTCAGGAAGGCACACTGCCTCTTTCCCCTATTTGGTCTCTATGGACCTATCCCAGAGAGCCATGGAACTAATGGAAGCTTTGTTCTTACCTCTGAAGCTTGTGCCTCTGAAAGAATCTCTTTAGGTTTCAGTTCATTGTTAAAGAGTTACTTGCAATATATTGTCAGGAAAATAATACAAAGATTGTATTGTAAATACCTCCTGAAATTCTTTGCATTCAAAAGTAAGATGTTTTCAGAATCTAAAATATTATTTTTCTAGGAGAAAAAAAAAAACCTGATGTGTTGCAAAGAGGCAAGGGGGAAAGGGTTCCCCAGAGTAGCAGGCATGTTTCCACACCTATCCTAGAGCTCCCCCAGCACACTTCTAATAAGAACTTCCCCCAGGCCGTTGCTTCTTTTCTGTTTTCTACCTTTTTTCCTCCAGCTTTAGAGGATTTAACAATTTTTTGTACAATCCTCAAAATGATACCTTCTTGAGCCAAGAAAAGGGTTGGGCAAGAGCCTATTATTATCCTAATAAATCCTCTCAATATATATATATATAGCATTTCCTCCAGGATTTATAATGTACATTTGAAGATAACCTATGACTTGTCAACAATCCAGCCCAGATAGATCTCTACATTTACCCACCTGTATTTTAAATAGTAGGAACAAAAATACCTTGGATGAACTTCAGTTCTCTCTTCAGTCCTTATTATGGTAGGACACAAGCACTGCTGTGTTAAAAACTATTTTTAAAAAAAACACCTCTTATATTATGCCAGTATAAGGTATATAGGAGAACTGCTTTTAAATTAAAATACAATCTGGAACCTCCAATGTTTGGCCCCAGAACCAGGCAGGAAGGGAAGATGGCCTGTCATTGGGTAACTTTCATCTTTAGACTTTTCCTGCTCACTTGTAGACCACCATTGCTCCCCTTTAATATTCTATGTCCCAAGTTAAAAAAAAAAAAAAAACTCCTTCACTGAGATATACTGGAACTTTCAATTATTTTTAAATACTCAAGGATAATGAAAGAGAAACACCTAATAGGTAAGAGAGGTACAAATCCTATGATCCTACTTTTCCTGCCCTCACAGAAGTCTGGCCCTGGTCTCCCTCTGGGAAGAGTACATTCCACACCATTGCCAAACACTCTAGGCATACTTATTGATCACTTGTAAAGAACAGCACAGTAGATTTCCAGTCTGCCACTCAGCAAGGGATCTTTTGTGGATTCTAAATATGTCAGATAGCTCTTCTCCAGGTAACTAATACTTAGAATGTCCATATCCTTGAAGAAACCTCTCTCCCTACAGGGTTATGGCTCTGTGCATACTACCAGTCCTGATATGTAACCAATTCAGTAACCTTGTCAAAAATATATTAAACAAAAAATGCATACACATTTAAAGGAACATAAAGTTGCCTTTGGTTTGTTATGGGTGGTAGAAAAGAGTTGTTTTCATTCTTTTAGCCCAGTTAACTACTATTCCCCTGAAATTTGTGGTTACAGTCAAAGACAGGTCACCTCCTTCATAGGAACCCTGCTCTGAGATGGTGGAAGTTCTTCATTGTTCACATTTACAGAAGCATCAGATTCTGCAGCTAGGTTGCTTGGGTACAAAACTAAGCTTTACTACTTATTAATTGTGTAATTTAGGGCAAATATCTTAACTAATCTTCAATTTTTACATTTACAAAATTGGGGGAAATAAAACCTCATAAGATATGGAAGGTTAAATATATGAACACACCTGCAAATAGAAAGTGCTAGGGACATAGTAATGTGCAGTTTTAGCTCTTATTGTTGTAATTTGTATTAATAAAATTTGCTATAGTCTAGGCAGACTATCCTCTTCAAAAGCAAAGTTTATGTTTGCACTTGGACTATGTAAATCAAAGATCTCAACTAATATTTCAATGTCAGCTGTTCCAGCAAACCCAATGTCAAATTAAGAAATTTGAGTCTACTAAATGCCTAATTTGAAAAGGTTAATAATGTGCCAGCTCAGATTTAGCATAATAATCCAAAAAGTATGCAGTAACAAATAGAAGTAAAGTCTCACCATTTCTTCTAGAAGGACTTTTGCAAACTACTGTGTTTCAAACTCCCAAGTCAGCTAAACCTTAAAGGTCGGGCACTCAGTGCCACAAAATTCTGGGCAATGCAGATAAAACAACTTAGAAAAAGACAGGTCATTTTTTTTTCTGACATTTTTCAGAATGGTTCTCTCCAGAACCCAGAATCATCAGTAAATATTGCCAGATCCCTAATTTAACTTCAGTATTTGGACCTGGCCTAATTGTGCTTGTGTTTTCTTAAAGAAAATATTGGTTAAATATTTAGACTGTTTGAGCAGATTTTCTCAAACAATAATTTCTCCTTTGGGTCAATTGCACCCACTGGAAATGGTGGAAAGTGACATGTTTTAAATGTTTCAGAAAGGATTGGCTATCTTATCTCCTAAAAGCATTCTGTATCAAATGAAAGGAATTTTGCAATAATAGTTACAACAGTGTGCTTCTTTTTGAAAATATCTGTCACTGAAATTTAAAAAAATGTTAGTTAGGAATCAGATATTTGCCTTGCTTATGAGATATCAAATGAAGCTGACACTTGGAAAAGTTAGTTTCATGTAGAAATCAATGGTAGTTCTTAGAAGTTGTCAGGGAGTTAAGTGTTTACCCAACGTTTGTTTTTTTCTTGGAAATGCAAAGCTAGTAGGTTAATGGGCAAGCCAGGTGACTATCAGTTAAGGCTGGTTTGTGTATGTAGTTTATAACATTTCTTTTTTTAGTTGCATCTTAAATTATTCAAGTAGCAGGAATTGCTGTCACATCAGGTTTTCTGATATGTGAACTTTTAAATGCTTATCACAGCCCTTCCTACCAGCAAGCCCATTTTCTTCACCTGCCTTACCATCGTTTAGGGATCTCTGCCATTTTATAAGTAATAAAAATCTTTAAAATAAAATAGAGAATTATGAATTCTTTTCCTCTGCTCTCCTTTGGTGCAGGGAGGTATAATGGCAATTAAAAATATATTATCTTAGTTTTCTTTTGGCTCATGTTGCTGAATTTAGCTAATAAAGATACAGATTGCCCAGTCAAATGTGAATTTCAAATAAACTACGATTCTAAGTATGTTCTATAGAAAGTTGAATTCAAATTCTAACGAGTGTCCTATATTTTGTCTGGCAACCTGAATTTGGCATTTCATCTGCAGTTCATCTATGCAATGGGTTTGATGTAAGATCAGCTTTAGTTTGAATCTTGCCTGATAGAGCTTTGGTTGCACTGTACCATTTCATTAAATATAATCTGCTTGTGGGAAACATGGAGA